AGGGCAAATCTGCTCTCAAGCCCCCAGTTGAGTTTTTGAGACACTGCCAGTCAAAGCACCCGCAGCGTGCCCCTGTGCAGAGCCCAGGCAGACACAAGGTCCCACCATCCACAGGATGGCAGTGGCTGCCTCGGCCAGCCCAGGACCATCAGGCCCCGCAGGAGCTGCCTGATTCCAGGAGCCCACAGGCCATACCCAGCTCCTCCTGAGCAAGCTGTCTCCCAGGTCTGAATGGGGAACGGGGAGGCCTCAGCCTCTCAGATCACCAGAAAGTTTGTGCTCAGATGGGCTGAATGTTCTGGGTCCGTTTCCTCCTCAAGCCCAGAAGGGTTTGCTTTGCAGGAACCTGTTCCAGGTGATTTCAAGGACATGAAGTTCTTCGGTGGATATGCCAGGACCCCAATTCCTGAAATTAGAAACTTGTGTCAAAAATCACAAAAGAGGGCTGGGCGTGGTGTCTCACGCCTGTAATCCAAGCACTTTGGAGGCCAAGGCGGGCGGATCACCTGAGGTCGGGAGTTCAATATCAGCCTGACCAGCATGGTGAAACCCCATCTTTAAAAAAAGAAAAAAGAAAAATCACAAAAGAGACTGGGTGCAGTGGCTCACGCCTGTAATCCCAGCACTTTGGGAGGCTGAGGTGGGCAGATCATTTGAGGTCAGGAGTTCAAGACCAGCCTGGCCAATATGGTGAAACCCCATCTCTACTAAAAATACAAAAATTAGCTGGGTGTGTGGGCGGGTGTATGGGCAGGTGTCTATAATTCCAGCTACTCAGGAGGCTGAGGCAGGAGAATCACTTGAATCCAGGAGGTGGAGGTTGCAGTGAGCTGAGATCACACCACTGTGCTCCAGCCTGGGTGACAGAATGAGACTCGGTCTCAAAAAAATAAATCAATAAAATCACAAAGGAAGTGGCCTAGCCCAGCATCCTGGCCGCTGCATCCTCACTGCGAAGTCAGATTCCTCGATCCTCCCGTGGGTCTCCCGGACCCCTGCACGGAGTCTGCTAAGTGCCTGACGTGGCCCAGGATAGGAGCGCCGGATCCCACAGAGGCAGCTGTTCGGACAGAAGCGGTTGGCTGAGTGTTCCCCAGTCCACACCGCACGAGTAGGTGGCGGAAGAAGAGAGGCAACACTTGGGGATGCTGGGGCTCAGCCCCTCTGGGGCCCTCAAGGGGGGTATATAAACCTCGCACCCCAAGATGAGGAGCTGGGGGCTCCCCACCAACACCCGTTGGCACCAGCAGCTGCTCCTGGGGCGTCACCTGCCCGGAAGCCGAGGAAACCCGGTGCAGAAGGCAGCGTGTCCGGGAGCAGCCACTCCGGGGGGCCGCCTTCCTCAGGCTCTCAGCCCAGCGAGGCACCCCCCTCAGGCTCTTGGTGTGAGGACGGCTCCCGCAGAGATCTCCAGGGGTCAACACAGCCTGGCCTCTAGGGCGGGCCGCACTGCGAAGGACGAGGGGCCAGGGTGGGAGAGGTGGTCTCCATTTGGGTGGCTTTTGATTAGGGAGTGCCGGGAACCCAAGCCCGCCGGGGCAGGGAGTCGGGGCTCTTAGCGGGGCGGCCTCGGTGGGGACACTTCAGCAGGGACTCCTCTATCCCAGAATGGTTTTACTGCGGGCACGGTCACTTGCTCAGTTTTGGCAATCATCGTTTTCAACAGCATAGAGACAAGTGTTTATATTCTTCAACTTTTTATTATGAAAAACGTCAGACGGTGAGTCGAGAGCCTAGTATTGCATGCACCTGTGTGCACAGTGTCCAGATACAGCAACTGTGAAGGGAAAACTCTGCATTTTCGTTTAAATCTACCAAAGACTAAAACACACCAAGAACTGCAGGAGGGAGAACCTGGGTGGAGGTGGGAGGGGCTAGAGAGTGGGTGGAGTGGGGTGGGTGGGACAGAGGTGGGGGAAGGTGGGGGCAGCATGGGGTGGGGTGGGGAGATGGAGGGTGGTGGGAGGCAGATTGGGGAATGGATGGGTAGGTGGAGGTGAGTGGGGGGAGGGTGGGGAGGATGGGATGGGTAGGTCATGGCAGTGATAGGTCGTGGGGTAAGGCACAGGTGAGGAGATGAAGGGGGGTGGGCCAGGGGGCAGCCCCCAGTGCCCACAGCTGGAGCAGGCGAGGGGCAGGAGGGAGCAGCTGCCTGCCCCCGTGCTGCGTGGGTGGGCCCTGGGGCACCCCGGCCTGCCGCAGTCTCTCCTGAAGGAGGCCTCCCGAGCCCACAGTTGGGTCCGTGTGTGCCTGCGTCTATTGACAAATTTGAGTGAACTGTGATACGTCAAGGCTTGGGGAAGTGTGGGAAATGCTGTGATTTTCTTTCTCTGCAGAAGTCAAGCTGAGAGAAAGCAGCTCCCACAGTGTGAGCACCTGACGTGGAGGAGGTCCAGGGCTCAGAAGCCTCAGGCGCTCATTCCAAAGACCTGAGAATTCAGGGAACCCGGTGGCGGGGTGGGGTGGGGGTCTTCTTGCCCAGACCTGGAAGTTGATGGAAAAAGTGCTGTGAGGAACCCTGCGCCCCCTGAACACCCTCATGCCCCCGAGGACCCCTGCAACCCATGAGGACCCCTGCAACCCATGAGGATCCCTGCAACCCATGAGGACCCCTGCAACCCATGAGGACCCGCGTGCCCCTGGGCCAGGGTGGAGACCCACGCACAACCCCAGTGACTCAAGGGAAAGAGAAAGAGGCCCCATGGGGCTTGTCAACCATCAAGGACCCAGAGACTGGGCAGAAGCTTCCGCCCACCACGCTCAGCCAGCAACTGCCCCACCGGGAGAGCCCAGCTGTGAGTCCTCCAGGAAGCGGCCTCAGGCTTTGCTGAGACCCTGAGGCAACCGAGTAAAGCCAGCCTCACTTCCCGGAGACTCAATCACCAGAACCTCAAGGAAACAAAAATCCACCTGAAGACATTTTCCCTAACGCCCAGACCAGTCAGACAAAAGCTACGCGGAGCCTGTCCCGGAGTCAGTTTCCCAGCGAGCACCAGGGCGTCTGGGTTCTCATGCGGCCATCAAGCCTGTGCACCTCCGCATGGAGCTCAGGAACCCCGCTAGGGCTGCTGGAGTCAGCTCGGCCTCCACCAGCTGGCCCCCGTGCCCACCGGCATTTCTCAGCTTTCGGGCCACAGACCCTGATGCTTCGCTCCAGCTCCCAGCAAACAGGAGAGGAGGCGTGTGGCTGTGGTGGGGGCGGCTGCACAAGCCCCCTGCCCTGCTGAGGGCCCAGGAGGCCCAGCTGATACACCTGAGACTGGGTAATACATAAAGGAAAGAGGTTTAATTGAGTTACAGTTCAGCATGGCCAGGAGGCCTCAGGAAACTTACACTCAAGGCGGAAGGGGAAGCAAACGCATCCTTCTTCACATGGCGGCAGCAAGGACAAGAGGCCGCTCGATTCTAGCCGGCACCTGCCTCTGTCCTGAGGGTGCAGCGTGTCCAGGAAGGACCAGCAATGCCCATCTGCCTTGCCTTGGCCACTGCCACAGCCAGCCTGAGAGATTGGCTCACCAGGGCACTCAACCCAGCAGCCCGCAGAGCTGCCCTAGAGCCTTCCATCGGCTCTCACCTTTTCATTCTTGATCTCAGTGTAGACGCTCTCGGAAGATGATACATTTGGGCCACTGACACTCCTTCCTAACTGCCTTCCCCTCGCCAGTTTTTCTTAGTTACTGCATTATTTTCAGATGGCTGGTGGATACTTTATACCTGTAAGCAATGCACGGGAGCTCTGCCTCTTGGCTGATGACCCCCAACTACTTCCATGGAGGGCAAGCCTGAGCTCCCCACCTCCCGCCACACCCCCACCCGCATCTTTTCCTTGTCACCTTCATGTTGTTACGATCTTAGACATACGCCTTCAGTTCAGTCATACATTTGAGACCTCCTATTTGGTCTACAGGCGGATTCCAGCAGGTGATATGGCTTGGCTGTGTCCCCACCCAAATCTCACCTTGAATTGCAGTTCTCATAATCCCCCCGAGTCATGGGAGGGACCCCCGGGGGAGGTCACTGGATCGTGGAGCGGTGACCCCAGGTCGCTGTTCTCATGATACCGAGTGAGTTCTCACAAGACCTGATGGTTTTACGCGCGACTCTCCCCCTTTTGCTGGGCACTTCATGTCGCTGCGCTGTGAAGGACGTGCTTGCTCCCCCTCCGCCATGGCTGTAAGTTCCTGGGGGCCGTCCCAGCCGTGCTGAACTGTAAGTCAGTGAAACCTCTTTCTTTATAAATTACCCAGTCTCAGGTACATCTTTATTAGCAGTGTGAGAACCGACTGACACACCAGGCCATGCTGATAAGCAGCACTTAAGCATTACGACGATTTAAATATCTTTTTTTTTTTTTGAGATGGAGTCTCGCTCTTGCTGCCTAGGCTGGAATCTCAGCTCACCGCAACCTCCGCTTCCTGAGTTAAAGCGATTCTCCTGCCTCAGCCTCTCGAGTAGCTAGGATTACAGGCATGTGCCATTATACCTGGCTAACTATTTGTATTTTTAGTAAAGATGGGGTTTTTCCATGTTGGTCAGGCTGGTCTCGAACTCCCGACCTCAGGTGATCTGCCCACCTCAGCCTCCCAAAGTGTTGGGATTACAGGTGTGAGCCACTGCGCTCGGCCTAAATACCATCTTTTGAGAAGCCAAGTGCTGTGTCTGTGTCCTAGGGCAGGAAATACAATTCCATCCTAAACCCTTTCGTGTAAACCAGACTCCACAGAGCACCAGCTTCACTCTAGGCTTTCACTCTTCCTCCGTGTCCTTGCGTCCCCGTGGCCTCCTTCTTCCCAGCTGCTGTGGCTCAGGTGCAGTGAGCGCCCCAGGCCCTGGCAGACACGCTGTCCTCACACGGGCTGCAACTGAGGGTCTGGGTTCCTTGTGAATCGTGTCCTTGAGCGCCCAGTGTTGCTGATCCCAGCAGCCTCTCTCTGGCTCTGAGTCCTGTAGGGACTCGGTTCTGCTCCAGAAGCTCTCAGGCCTTCCCTCCTTCCCTCCAGATCCAGAAATGTCACCAGAAGGGGAAGCAACACTCTTTGCCTCAATCCCGCTCAGTACAGGAGCCAGGCTCCCACCGCTCAGTTCCCTTCTGTGCTGTCCTCATGGAGCTGCAGCTGACACCCACCGGGTGGGCCCTTGAAACAGCAGCATCTCCCTCCTAAAAGTAGATAGAAAACACGTCCCAAGCCCCGGTGCCGCAGAGCCCGGCTTAGAGGACATGCTGGGCAGAGGGACTTACTTCAGAAGGACTTTTCCTGCCTCTGAAAAGAATTGCTCCTTTTACAAAGAGGACACTGGCTGTTTTCTGTGTTAACCCAAAGAATAATTTCCCTTTGTTGCACAAAGAAAGCAGAGCTGGCCTTTAGAAGCCTAATTAATGAGGAAAGTTTCCATCTTTTTAAAAACTAAATTCTGCCCCTTGTGAATCCACGGGAACCTGACTGGAGAGCTGAAACACTGTGTGACCCAGGCCAGCCTCCATGGCATTTTACAACTGTCCTGTCTCCATCCTGGGCATTTTTAAAGCCCTGGTTGCCCCAGGGAATTTTCTGTTTTTATTTTTTCGTGGAGATGGAGGGCTCCCTGTGTGCTCCAGGCTGGCCTCAAACTCCTGGACTAAAGCAGTCTTCCCAACTCAGCCTCTCAAAGTGCTGGAATTAGTGTCCCCGGCTGAGCTTGGTTCCTGGTGACAATGGGCAGTGGCTGAGGACTCAGAGGACCACACATCCCATGGCAGGCAGAAAACATGAGGCTCATCTCCCCCAGGAGACTGGAAAAAGGCAATGAGGAGCAGCTCAGCTCAGCACCCCCAGCCAATGTGAGCCAACTTTAAAACAGCATGAATGGCAATGGCCTGGCCCCTCCCACTGTGGCGTCTGCACCCACCACCCCTGGAGAAGTGCTGGCCCCGCCCCAGAGCGTCTGAGGCAGCAGAGCTGGATGCTCGGTGTGCTGCCTGTGTGCACGTGTGTGCATGTATCTGTGTGTCATACAGTGCCTGTGTGTGCACCTGGGTGTGCATGCATGTGTTGTAGCTGTGTGTACAGGTGTGTGCGCATATGTATACACACGTGCACGTGTGGGAAGAGTACCCATTTCTAACAAGTCTCCGGGTAAGGTTGAGTCTGCTGTTGCAGGGCCTGCACTCTGAGCACCCTGGGTCTATCAGAAGGTAAGTCCTCTTCCTCCTCCTCTTCCTTCTGTCCCATCCCACAGGCTGGAGGGTAAGAGCTGCGCACGTGGACGGGGATTCCAGGACAGCATGGCTTCTCACAGCAGAAACACGTGGCGGAATCTGTCCATCAAGGCAGGCATGGTGAAATCAGCTGTGCACCCTTACCTAGGAATCCTGCATGCCTGCAAAGGCAGTACCTGGAAAGCCAGGTACTCCCTCCCTCCACAGGCCCTAAGGAGCACCACCCACCCCGCCCCTCACCCAGGCAGCTGGCATCTGGCAGATGTGGCGCTGTGGGCCTGGGTGGGCCTCACCTTTGTCCTGACCTGCTCAGCCGGGACCCAGACAACGAGGGCCACATGTAGCCCCACGCTTCACATCAAATCAAGCTGCTGACCAGGCAAAAAGAGCAGAATCATCAGATAAAAGACAGGCGGCCTAGTTACATTTGAATTTCAGATAATTCAAATTTAATTCAAATGAGAATATGAATGATTTTACACTGTATGTCCCAAATATCTACAAGGGTTCTATTACACCGTGCTGTATCACATCAGGGGGTTTTATGAGGAAGGTGGTGAGCGCCGCTAACCAGAAGGTGCCCATCCGCCAGCCTCACGGGGACATGTGGTTCTTCGTCATGAGCCGTGTGCAGCGGAGGGCATGTTCAGAAGGTTTTCGTCAAACACAGAATATTTGGGGCATACTTATACTGCACAATTATTCAGTGTTTATCTGAAATTCACATTTTCACCTGGGCATCCTGGTATTTTTATGTTAAATCTGACAACCCTTGAAAGCAGCCAAAATCCCCTCAGGCACTGGAGAGCCGGCGGCTGAGCCAGCGCACTGCAGCCCCCTCCTTCTCAGGGCCGTGGCCGTGCAGGGGACATCGTGGGGACAATAATCGTGCAAGGCTAGTGCTGGGAGCATCACGGGCGCTGACCCGGAGACACGTCCAGCCGGCCTTCCGGTCAGCTTGGGGAGTCTTCAGATGCCCCAAGTGAAGAATCGGACTTTCTTTCCCGAATGATGAGAGTGGCCCCCTCGTGGTGGCCACGTTCCCAGGGACCACCTGGTTCTCTCCAGCAGGGTTCAGACAGGAGCCAAGATCTGGGTCCGAACAGTGGGTGGAACCTGCCCCCTAGAGGTGTGATGTGTTGGTGGCAAGCCTGGCAGCTGTGCCCAAAACACCCTGGCCAGGTCGCTTCTGTCCGGTTCCCCCGAAGCCCAACTTCTAATTTCTCTGAAACCACAGGCTGCTTTGGTCATAAGGGAAATAATTAGATCGGAACCTTAGCAGCATGAATTTCCTCCGAAGAGGAAGAAAGCGAAGGCATGGGGAGATGAGAGATGTTAGCTAGGTAACACCCTCTCCCACCTGGCTGTGTGGGAAAGGCGCCTCTGTGAGACACTGCATCCGGAGCAGGAAGAGGCCGTCTCCGTGGTATTGGGTCAGAACACCCCCCACCTCATCTGGCAGGCATGCAGTCCCCAGCACCTCGCCTACGAGGCCGCACAGCCCAGGGAAGGAGCCAACAGAGCTGTGCTCTGTGTCCAGATGTCTGGATGAGGCCCAGAGGGATGGCCCATGGTGGACCAGGTAGACCTGGGGGGACAGAACCCACAGCGGCCATCCAGCTCCAAAGGCTGAGCTCTTTCTCCAGTGTCTGGGGTCTCAGGCATGAGTGGCAGAGGGAGCAGTCCCACGAGCCATGTCAATCTCACTGCAGTAGAATTCCACTTCTGTCCCAGACTCAGCCAGAGGGAGGACACTGGGACCACAGGCATGTGGACACATAAGGGTATGTTTGACCAAAGCCTTCTAAACATCCCTTCCATTGCACCTGCCTCATGGCCAAGAACCAGGTGTCCCCATGGGGCTGAGAGATGGGCACCCTCTGGTTAGCAGTGCTCACCACCTTCCAGAGATGACATCAGCTCCCCAAGCAAGAAACTCCACTTGGCCAGAACCCAGAGCCGATCTGAGGAGTGACTCACACTAGCCAGACTTATACAAGACTGATATATAACCTGGAAGGCCTGTATGTTCGCTGACCATGGGAAAGCCTTTCCAGGGCCTGAGTGTTTCCCACCTGTGATCCAATTCTTCTGTTCCTGGTATCAGGATTTTGGGAAGCCACATCCATCTTTTGAAGGAAATTTGAGCTACAGGGATCATAGAAAGAGGATCATTCACTCCATCCCCAGGAGTAAGGGAAGCAGTCAGTAGGTCGCTTAGACAGTCCACAAATGGTCATTGTCCACCTGCTGCGTGTTGGCCCTGCCAGGGAGGTGGGGGACAGTGGTACCACACCAGACCCAGCCCTGGGCCCTTGGAGCCAGCTGATGGCCTGGCAGGGGAGGCACTCACTGAACAAATTATTGGCCATGATTCAGAATGACAAGCGTGCAAAGTGCATCCCACAAAGCCCTTGCTGAGTGGTAGGCACAGGTGTGTGGCCGTAAAGACCAAATGGGACCCTCACAGCTGGAGTGCTGACCTTGGAGCCTCGAGTGAAGGCTGCCCAGGGAAGAGACAGGCAAAGGGGTGGAGACAGCATTTGCAGCCCCGGGGGCACTGCAGGGTGGTTTGCAGGGGAGCCCAGGTGAGGGTCCAGAGGGACTAGAGTAGGCCAGGAAGGGAGGTGGCCAGGGGTCTGCTGCAGCCAGGTTCTGAGGGTTGATTCCTGGCTCTGCCCTCCACCCAGGTAGCTGCCTACTCTACGCATCTCTGGCTGCTCCCCTCAAAGCGGGTGTGACAGCGTCACCTGCCTCAGAAAGAAGGGGACATGTGGGGGACATAAATATTTCATGATGACCGCCCAGCATCGAGCTCTGGAGACAGCACCCCTGCCCAGGTTCCCACTAGAGCAGACAGACCACCTGAGCTGGGACAAGCTGAGCGTGCATCTCCATGTGGACCCGGTCCAATCTGGGGCTCAGCACCCCTGGGTCTCCTGGTCCGGGCCCTGTCTCACCCTTTTATGCCATCTTTTCTCAACAGGCACAGGCGCACAGGACCCCAGAGGGAGGAGGCTCCCCAGACTGAGGGAGGAGAGTACCTGGCAGGTACTCTCGCAGCAGAAACACGGGGCGGAATCTATCCATCGAGGCAGGCGTGGTGAAATCAGTTGTGCTCCCTTACCTAGGAATCCTTACCTAGGGGAGGCACAGGGACCCCAGGGTGTCCAGGGAACAGTAAGGAAATGAATAATGACGGGGACCCCGTCTCCGGAGCGTTTCTGTGCTAAGCCACTGTGGGCTGCTTTCATTCCTCCAGGGAAGAGGATGTCCCACGTGACAGCAGTGGCTTAGGCCCTTCCGAAGTCTCACTGGGCCATATCTCCACCAGGTCATGGCTGGCACCGGTATCGCCAGCGGCCTCCTGCACAGATGGGGAAGCTGAAGCCCAGGTCCCAGACAGCCAAGCCAGCAGGTGAGGCTGACCCGAACCTGCACGGGCTAAGGGGCTGCGCTCACCAGTACCAGCTCTGGTTGGTCAGGAGGACGCCAGAACGCCCTGGCACAGGCCCTGGCCCTGGCCCAGGCCACCCTGCAGAGCACCCAACCCTCACCAACACCTCCAGGGAAGGGGCTGTTGCTGGCGCCTTGCACAGAGGGCACTGAACCCTAAAGAGGCTCAGAGCCTCGCCAGGTCACACAGCTGGGAGGAGGCAAGCCAGGATACGAACCCGGAGCCCAATCCGGAGCCTACACCCGCAGAGGCGAAAACACCTGCGCAGCGGGGTCCACGGCCGTAGGCCCGTGGTGGGCGTGGCCGAGAGGGAAAGGGGCGGAGGCGGGGAAGGCGGAGCCGGCGGCCGTGGCGGACTTGATTGGATGCCGCCTTAAGCTCGTCATAGACGCGTTTTGACTGGCGGCCCCGCCCCTGACCCGCCCTCCCCAGCGCCGCTCCGCGCGGCCCCAGCCTAGGCCCCGCCCCGCCCACGCCCCTCGGCCCCGCCCACGCCCCTCGGCCCCGCCCACGCCCCTCGGCCCCGCCCACGCCCCTCGGCCCCGCCCAGCCCGGCCCCGCCCTGCGATGGGGCTTCCACGGCGACCCGCGGTTAACGATCCCCCAGAGCGATGGCTGCGCAGCCGGAAGTCGGAGGCAGGCGGTCCAAGCCTGCAGGGCCGGACCCCGTGCCGCTGCTCCCAGGGAGCGCTCCGACCCGCGAGCAGACCCGGGCGTTGAGCCCCACTCTGCAGGAGCTCTGGGGTTTCTGGTCTTGCTTTTTTCTTAGCAGCTTGATTGAGATCTACCACGTACCGCACAGTTCGCCCATTTAAAGCGCACGATTCGCGGGGTTTGCTGAGTGAAACCGTGGCCACTATCAAATTCCAGGGCATTTCAGCTCCTTAAAAAGACGCTGGGCCCGGCCGGGCGCGGTGGCCCACGCCCGTCACCCCAGCACTTCGGGAGGCCGAGGCGGGCGGGTCACCTGAGGTCCGGGGTCTAGGAGTTCGAGACCAGCCTGGCCAACATGGTGAAACCCCGTCTCTAATAAAAACACAAAAATTAGCCGGGGGTGGCGCACGCCTGTAATCCCGGCTACACGGGAGGCTCAGGCAGGAGATTCGCTTGAGCCCAGGAGGCGCAGGTCGCAGTGAGCCGAGATCGCGCCCCTGCACTCCAGCCTGGGCGACAGAGCGAGATTCGGTTTCAAAAGCAAACAGAAACGAAGCCGGCGCCCTTCGCAGTGACTCGCGTTTCCCTCCTCCCCCGTCACTGGCAACCGCGCGGGGCCGTTCCATTCCCATAGAGTTGCCAGTTCTGGCTCCTCCTGTGAATGGATTCCCTCGCCGTGTATTTCCGTGTCTGACTTCTCCGACTTAGCGTTTCAGCCGCTCCCACGCTGCCGCAGTCCCTGCTCACTCCTTTCCCGCTGCACGCGGCTGCGCCGTGCGGGTGTCCGCGCTCCGTGAGCCCCTTGCGGGTTCCGCCCCGGGCCTGAGGGCGACGCTCGCCTCGCGGCTGCAGGAGCTGCACCCTGGGGGCGCTGGGTGCCGGTCCCGGCCTGGACCTGCGCGTTCTTCCACCGCCGCAGGCCCCCCGCCTGGGAGCTGCCGCCTCCTAGGGAGACGGTTCCATCGTCTGAGGAACGGCCAGACTAGCTTTTTTTTTTTTTTCTTTGAGATGGAGTTTGGCTCTTGTCGCCCAGGCTGGAGTGCAATGGTGTGATCTGGGCTCACTGCAACCTCCGCCTCCCGGGTTCAAGGGATTCTCCTGCCTCAGCCTCCAGAGTAGCTGGGATTACAGGCACCTGCCACCACGCCTGGCTAATTTTGTATTTTTAGTAGAGACGGGGTTTCACCATGTTGGCCAGGCTGGTCTCGAACTCCAGACCTCAGGTGATCCACCTGCCTCGGCCTCCCAAAGTGCTGGGATGACAGCCGTGAACCACCGCGCCCGGCCCATCTATACATCTTCTTCGGGAAAATGTGTATCCAAATCCGTTGCCGTTTTATTGTTAGACTGTCTTTTTATAATTCAGTTATAAGAATTATGTGTACCTTCTGCCAGGAAGTTCCTTATCAATCAGGATTTGCAAGTATTTTCTCCCAGTCTGTGGGTCGTCTTTTCACTTTTGTGACGGTTTTCTTTGTAGCGCGCACTTTCTCTTTGGATGCGGTGTTCTTTCTACCGCGTTTCTAAGGGGAACACGTTTGAAGCACCCCCGCGCGGAGCTGGGCAGGGCCGGGTCCGGGCGGGAAAGGTCCCGGTCCTCCGCTGCGCCTGCGCAGACGCCGGCGCGTGAGCCCGAGCGCGTGCCCGGCGGAGCGCGTGCCCGGCGGAGCGCGCGCCCGCCCTCCAGTGCGCCTGCGCGGAGCCCGTGGCCGCGCCTGCTCCCGCCGGGGGCTCCTCGCTGCCGCGCCGCGGCCATGGGAGAGGCCGAGGTGGGCGGCGGGGGCTCCGCGGGTGACAAGGGCCCGGGGGAGGCGGCCACCAGCCCGGCGGAGGAGACGGTGGTGTGGAGCCCCGAGGTGGAGGTGTGCCTCTTCCACGCCATGCTGGGCCACAAGCCCGTCGGTGAGCGCCCAGGCCGCGGACGCGCGTGGGGGCGGGGCGGGCAACCGGCGGGGCGGGGCGGGGCCTGCGCTCGCGACACCCGCGCCCAGCGCTCCCCGCCGAGCCCGGGCCGTGACGCCCCCCGGGACCCCCGCCCCGGACCCTGCCTCCGCCCCCCGGGACCCCCCCCCCCCCCCCCCCCGGATCCTAACCCCGACCCCCGGGATCCTAACCCCGCCCCCGGGGCCCCGCCCCTCCCACGCACCTTCCAGCCCTGCCCCCAGCGGCCCCTCCGCTCCCCAGGGCCACTCGTCCCCTCCGTCCCCCTCTCCTCCTGGCTCACCGGCTGTCCCGCCGCCCCTCCTCCCACAGGTGTGAACCGACACTTCCACATGATTTGTATCCGGGACAAGTTCAGCCAGAACATAGGGCGGCAGGTCCCATCCAAGGTCATCTGGGACCACCTGAGCACCATGTACGACATGCAGGCGCTGGTGAGCCCGACCGCCCTCCCTGTGCTGCCGGGTGGGGGCCCGAACCCGCCCACCGCTCTCTGAGGGTCAGCCTGAGCTGGACAGAGGCCCCCCATGCCTGCTGGGGTCTGCTGGACAGAGCAGCGGGCCACCTGCAGTGGCTCGAGAGCTTGTCATGGGAAGCACAAACCAGTGCCAGCCGCTGGTCAGCTTTTCAGGCGGCCTGCTTTTGACTGGGTGCTGGACCAGAGCCTCCAGGGAGATGACTGAGCAGCCGACACTCTGGAGGGAGGGAGGGAGGCAGAGGCTGGGGCCCTTGGCCGTTGCCGGTCTCCTGGGAGGCCCCAGAAGTGCTTTAGGCAGAGGATGACCTTATCCGAGTCACACCAAGGCGAATTTGGTGGCTACTGTGGGAGTCAGACAGGTGGAGTCCAGTCCTCAGAGCTCGGAGCTGGCGTTGTGTGACGGGCTTGCAGGTGAACTAGGAAACAGGGTGGCCAGAAGAGGCAGGGGGTGTTCCAGGCCCCTTGGCAGCAGAACGTGGTGCAGCTGGAGAGTGGGGTGGGGGTCCGGGCAGGCGACCAGGAGGAGGGGGACCTGTGCTGGTGGGAAGAGTCTGTGCCTGCCCCGATAGACTTAGGGCCACGCCAGCCCTCCCAGTAAGACGTCGGCACCGCCGAGGCAGGGAATGGTTGCCACTGACATTGGACGAGTGAAGTGGGTCTCCTTGTCATAGCTGTAGAAAGGGAGCAGAGAGGCCAGCTGTGCAGAGGGCTGACCGTGTAAGGAGAGGAAGCACACCCAGCCCTGGAAGGGCCCTGGGAGCTCACGCCCCTGTGGCTGCCACATCCTGCGTTGAGGACGTTCTGAGCTGGTCCAGCATTTGCATTGGGTGGCCAGTGCCTAGTGGCCCAGGCACAGCTGACCACTAAGCTCACAAGGTCTTCCCTGGACCCATTCCTGCCTAGAGCGCATCTGTCACCACCCCAGAGTCAGAGGTCCCCTGTCACCAAACTCCTGGGGTCAGCAGCTTCTCAGTTGTGGGAGAGGGCGCCTGGTCCCCAGACACCTCCCACACTGGGATTTGGAGAGATGGGTGCGGCTCTGTGCCTGTCTCTGGGGAAGACAGACAGCTCCAAGGCCCGTAATGTCCCCTGGGGCTGCGGTGCTGGCTCAGATGAGCACAGCAGCCCACGTCACACTCAGGGAGCGCGTGGGACCACCAGGCCTCTCAGCCCCAGGATGGCGGCCCCGTGCCTTATTCCCTCAGTGGCCTGTGGCATCAGTAAGGACTGCATGAGACCATGGGGCTGGCACCTTCTCTGGGCCATGGCACTTCTGTGTGGCTGGGGTCCAAGTCATCCAGACTTGATGAAATACAGAGCCTCTGGAGTCCACCCAAGAAGCTGACCAGCAGGCCCAGGAGATTTTGAGGGGCACAGATGTGGCCTGACTGCCCGCTCCACAGAGCACCCAAACTGCCGAGCGGAAGCCTCTGTGTCCTGATCTGCCTCCTAGTCCAGGGCCCTTCCCGCCAGCTCCACTTTCCCTGGCTCCTGGTCTCCCTCTGGTCTGTGTGACCGAAGGAGGGCAGTGCCTGGCAGGCACTCAGGGGGCCCTGCTGCACCTGCTCGGCCTCTCTCCCTGTTCTGTGACTGTGGCATCCCAGCCCACACCCTCAGTGTCCGTGGGTTCCTGCCACACGGAGGGGAACTCGAGGCACCTGCAGCCTCTCCCCGGGGCTGTCACCGTGCCCGCTGCACGCCGCCTTGGGGGAAGCAGACTCATGGTGAGACCACAGGCTGTGGAGGGCAGGCGGGCCCATGGGTGTGTCACCAGCGCTGACCCGTCCTCGGGACCCACCTTAGCAATGCTGCCCTGGTGCTTCTTCCTGACTCCTGCGGCTGCTTCCCCTGGTCCTGCCCTCACTGAGTCTCTGGAAAGTCCAGCTGCGGCCGGTGCTACCCACAAAAAGAAATACCCTTTTACCCACAAAAAGAAATGCCCTTTGCCCAGGCCCCACCTCCTACAGCCTCAGCGCAGCACTGCATGCTCACTGGCCGCTCCCCGGGTGGCTGTGACGTGGCCGCAGTGACTTGTTGCAACCGCATTTTCTCCTTTGTTTCTTTTTTTTATTTTCCGCCTCCGCCTCACCCCTCTCCTGTTTCTTAAACCAAACTCTATCGGACATCAGCACGAGTCTGAGATTCTTCCGTTCCCGAATTCAGAGAGAAACTTCGTCCTTCCAGAAGAGATCATTCAGGAGGTCCGAGAAGGTGAGACTCGGGAGAGGCTGGGCTTGGGAATCAGAAAAGGCCAGACGCTGGCCAAGGGCAGGGAGGTGAGGGTGAGGACCCCGGGCCTCCAGGGAGGTGTGGGTCCAGCACAGACCCCGCCCCGCCTGTGCTTGGGTGGTCTTGGGAGCCCCGGGATTGGAGAGGACTCTGTTTGGGAGCAGTGGCTGGACGGAAGCTGCGGCCTGTGTGGGCAGCAAGCATTGGAGCAGTCCCCGGCCTGACCATCCCCCAGCGTCGGCCACCACCGTGGGCTTTCGGTGAACGTCAGCTGTCTCCTCCACAGGAAAAGTGATGATAGAAGAGGAGATGAAAGAGGAGATGAAGGAAGACGTGGACCCCCACAGTGGGGCTGACGATGGTGAGTATGGAGCTCAGCCTGCCCTGGTGCTAGGCTGTCCCCGGGCAGGGCACAGTCAGGTGGGCGTAGAGCCTTCGGTGCAGAGTTCCCAGGCAGGTCATCTCAGCACAGGATGGGTCCTGCAGCGCCGTGTCCCCAGGAGCTGAGTGCCGGCCCGTGTTGTGGGATGGGGTCTAAGCAGTGGTTCCTGCAGAGTCAGCAGCAGGGAGGTGCCCAGCAGGACCAGGCCCCTCTGCAGGCCCACACGCCAGGGCCCCAGCTCAGGAGGAAGCCTTTGAGTTCAGAGGGTCATGAGTGAATATGCAGATTTTTTAACTGAACAGGGAGACAAAAATAAGATTTTGGATATTCTGTTTTTAGCCAAGTGATTTTTCGTTTCTCAGTTTTTTCATCTTCAGGGAGTTTGGGGAAAGCAACAGAAAAATCCAGCAAAGACAAAGAGAAGAACTCCTCGGACTTGGGGTGCAAAGAAGGCGCAGACAAGCGGAAGCGCAGCCGGGTGACTGACAAAGTCCTGACTGCGAACAGCAACCCCTCCAGCCCCAGCGCGGCCAAGCGGCGCCGGACATAGACCGCTCGGCCCTGGCGGCAGCAGAGAAGCGGGCAAACAGCCTGGTCACCGAGGGGGTCGGCTGGGTCCCAGTGCCACCGCCAGGCCACAGTGACATCGTCCCAGTGCTGTGAGCCCTGCCCGCCCTAGGTTCTCAGGTGAACGTGGCCATCAGCGGGGCAATGTGTGTGTCAATCGGACCCTGTGGGACCCTGGCCAGGATCAATCCAGCTCCGATCCCGAGGGCTCTGACGCCGTGTGCTCTTCTCTGGAGCAGCATGGCTTCCCGTGGCTTTTTGGCGACATGCATTAGCTCCACATGGCCTGCAGCATTAGGGACCCAGGCTACCTGGAGGGGCATTGGGCCAGGGGAAAACCTCGGATTAGCAA